ATTCCTGAAAAAGTGTATTAGTATACTTGGATATCACAAAGCCTTTTATATCCATTTTACAGATGCAGAACTGAGACACTGGAATTTAACTGACTCGCTGAGAGTCATACAGCAATTTTATGTCAAATGAAGGAGAAGCAGGAGTCAGAAAATCCAGGCCATTGCTTTGGCCATTCTCTCACTCCTTGTTTGCAAGCATTCCTTATGGCAGCAGTTACCTCTGTGCAAAAGCTCACAAAGATATCAGCATGGCTTTTATTGGAATACACGGTATTATCTCCTTTGCCCAACCCCAAATGTTTGAATCGTCTGAGACAGGGAATTACTGTGTCCTTATGCTATTAAAGATGTTCATAATTCACACAGCTAGGAAAGGATTCAAGTTGTGAAACGAGTCTTCACTGTCTGAACTTTAAGGGCTTCTATAACATAGTTTTTGCAAACTCAACTCTTGATTTGATACAATTTATTGTGCTTTTTAAAAGAGACCTTAAGAAAAATATTACATTTTATCAGCTGTAACTGCCTAGTAAGTCATGCTAGAATATGTGATCTGTAGAATATATGCAGTCCAGGAAATACGTTGCTTCTGTGTCATTTAGTGTGCATCTCCCTGGGAGCCTTTGTACGCAAGCAGGTGCAGGCAGACTCAAGCTTTGCTGAACCAGGGCCAGGAGCTTCAGCCCGGGAGTCACGTAGCTCTGCTAGCGCAACGCGTAGACGGGACCAGCAGACCTTCCAGAGGGGACCGCATTGAGAGCAGAGCGTGGTGGCTGGGGCCGACGCTGTCCTACGGTAGTTACCTGCCCTCTGGACTGTCACTGGCTTGAATTTCTCCGGTTTGTGGAGGGAGAGATTTCAGTTCATGCCTAGCAGTAGTCAGTTAGTAGTCAGGCTTTATATTTTGTAAAGTTGAAGAAACTGGGATTCCTGTGGAAGTATCCATAGATACGTCCAAAATTCCCACCTGTACCACCTAGTTATGGACTTTGCTCTGGCTCTGAGGCTTTGTATGTTTTTAAGAAATTTCCTTTCAGTTCTTATGCATCTGAAAATACTTTGGTTAAGTGTTTAACATAGCTTAGTATGTATGAGATGCATTTTTATCTGTTGTAACTGAAACCAATTAAATGTGATTTTTGACGGGTCTGGAAGATCACCTCTGTGATTTTGAGGCCATTACTTCAGAGCTGCTTAGGGCTGCTGCCAGTCCCATTGCCAAGTGCCAGTCGTCTTCAATACAGGCAGTTGGAAAACCACTTTTTTTTTTTACATGCTGATAACATGGGTCTATCTGGGGAAAAAACAGCACCATGTATTATCAGAAACTCTCCGTTTAATTATAAAAGTCGTTTAGTTCATTCGTCTCTTTTGTGACTAGAATATATGCCATGAAAAGTAATTGCTTTGATTAATAATAGATTATGGTCTTTAATGTTCTAAAGAATATCTCCATGACATATATTTCTAGATGAAATTCAGATTTTTTTTTTTTAACGTATATTTGTTGTTGTTTCAGTAAGGAATTTTTTCTCACTAAAAATTCCTGAAAGTTTGTACAACCTGATAATGTAATCATAATGCTGCGAGGCTGACTTTTCTTTAACATCTGCCACTTATAGTCTCCTGAAAAAGCTTGTGAAAATAGAGGCTGTGAAATTCATGCTTCAGAATCACACAGTAAGTTTCCTTACTACGTTAAAAAACGTTGTGTGTAGTAAATTTTGTAGAACACTGAACTTTTCATACGCTTATGTTTCAACAGAGTAAGCACTTCCCTTTCTTGGGCATCCGCGATAATTACAGCCTCAGTGACCTTAGGTGCCGGACAGTGTTCTACACTGCTCTCACTCGTCTTCTCATGGTAGACTTAGGTAAGGTCCTCCTCCCATGTCCCTGAGACACCTTGCTGTCTTGGGTAGTACTATGAACTTTTAAGGTTATTAAACCAATCAAACAGCAGTTTAATTGTACAGTAAATATGTTATAGTTGGTATTTAAATCACTGCCTATCAACTTTTGAGATTTATGGCATTAAGCAATAACACTGTATTTGTTTGTTGCCTTCTGTTGGAGAAATATGCGAGATGAGCTATTTTTTGCACAGAAGCACTTTTTGTGTTAAGTATGAGGATTTACAACATTTAAGTGCTTGAGTAAGTACTGAGTTTTCACGTGACATACCAATTATGCCAGAAACTTCCAGCTTCTAGTACAATGGGTTTTTTTATTTCACTTCTTCATGCAAGTTCCCAATATACAAGACCTTCGAAGTTTTAATAAGAACATTGACAAGAGTTCTGCAGTTCAGCCAGAAATACTTAAACATGCACTTGGGGTTACCTTTTGAGTTGTCCTTTGGAAATCAGGGAGGTTAGACATGTGTAAAACCCAGTGCACGCTTTAATAGCTAGATGTGATAAAGGACTCGATTGCTTTGAATCCAGGCACTGTCCTTGGCCACCGGAGTAAAATGCAGAACTCTGTCTGTGTGGTTAGCTCTCTGTTGTCTAAACAGGGAAAGCTGGACTTGTTAAAACGAACACTGAAACAAATCGTATGTTAAAGAAGCTGATAGTGAAGAATACAGCACATCTCAAGTTGCCTCTGTTCTGATCAGAGGCCCCGTTCAGAGTTGTGGGCTTATGTCTGCTGAGGATCAGCCTTACAGGCTGCTTTTGTGAGGCTGGATGCCTATAGGTGTTCCAAGGAGGGCTGCTGATGAGGGCCTTCAAAAAATAAGGCGGCAAGTCTTTTGTGTACTCATTTCCAACCCTCATACAAGGACTTAACTAGGCAACGTGTGTGCAGAAGAGATTGACACAGACAGTCATAAGCCAACAGTAGTTTACTCTCCTTGTGCATAATGGGTGTGCCTGTACTGTCTACTGGTGAACAGTGCTGAAAACAGTTAACTTCGAGGCAAGACTGAACCATATTTATCAGCTTTTTCTTAAAGAATGGCAACTGTGAGCTGGACCTGCATTCACTGCTTTCAGTATTGGCTCAGTGTCGTGTAACATAAGCAATAGGTACATTTTCTAATATAAAATGGGTTACACGTGCATTTCAGTAATGTTTCCAACAGGGGAAAAAAAAAGATTTGGTAAAAACAAGATCGCAGGTGTTAAAAATTACATCTCTAAGTAGAGGTTGTGTAAATACATGTCAGACAAAATGCAGGCACGTGACTTATGACTGGGTACAAGCTGATAGAGGTCGTTGTGATTCCTCTGGATTAACAGCTCTACAAGATCTGAAATGATTAAGAATATCTGGAAAAAGCATGCATCAGTCTTTTGGCTATTGTCCTTTGTGTTCCTGCTGGAATAAATTTGTTTGGGTTTGAACTGATAGAAAAGCACATCTAGAGACAGAAACAGGTATAAGTTGCGTTCTAGGATCCAAATTTAAAAAGTAAGGTGTACATAAACTGTCCTTTCTTTGTGTTTGTGCAAGCATAAATGGCAGTATTCTTACCTTGTGAATCAAAAGATATTCTCAAACTGTGCAAACTGGCATTTTTAGACAAAAATCATTGTACCAATTGTCTTCTCTGAGTTTTTTTCAAATTAAATGAAGAGCTTTATATAAAATCCTTTTAGATGAGTGATAAACAATTTACGTGGAAAGAAAATTAAGATGAATTTTTATTGGGGGGGTTTGTTTTAAGTAATTGTTTGATGTAGAAATATTTTTGGAGAGTAGTTGAATACAGTAAATTCAGAATATTTACATTTTAAACAATGTGCTGTTGGAGTGACTGGCAAGATTTAGTTGTAGGAAGGAACAGTAATATATTACTTGGTATTTGCTTCAAAATTTTGGTTTCTGTTGAATTACTTTAACTTCATATGAATATAATTAGACTTTGAATTCCTTATGTGCCCCAGGTTGTGTTTTTAATAATTTTTTTGGCATTTAGACTTGCATCATTTTGTCCAAGATTCTTAGTCCAAGATTTCTGAAGTAAACTGAATATTTGTGTGAAGTATATAGTAACCAAAACTAATACAAGAACACCAATAAAAGTTTAATAGAAGTTTTACTAGGATTAATAAATTTTAATCACTTTTTCTTCTGTAGTAGTAGATCTAAGCTGTAGAAAATACCTTCAGGAGCTATTCAGCATGATTTGTCAGTGTCCTGTACTTACAGGTGTATGCAGTCACGCTCAGTGCCAAACCTCTCTAAGTGAAGCAGGTTTAAAACAGTATTGCTGTAAGCCACACACAGATCTACTATCTTAGGTCTTCTCAACTTTTTAACAAAGTATGCTTGAGATTCTACATTCAGGAAGGGTTCATCTTGAATTTGCATGTGTACATAGTATCTTTGTGGAGATTGTCTTCTAATGATATGCAGCACTCTAGATGAGAGGGCGTATTATTTTTGCTATGTTGTGGTAATACAGGTTTCTCCTGAGAACTCTGTAAATGGCAGTTGAGCCCTCATCCTGCATAGACCAGTATCTGAATGACTTCTGTTAGTCTGTACGCTGGCATGGGACAATACCAGCATGGGACTCTTTCCAAATGATTGGTCTTTATTCATTAATTTTTTTGCTGCGAGGAAAATTGGGTAAGCAATTAAAAGGAGAAAAGCATCAGGATATGCAATGCATATAGAAATAGTTTAGCTCCTAGCAGGGTAAAGTAAGCTGATGCTGGTCGAGCAAAGAGATTGGGAGCACAGAAACTAATAGTGTATTGGAACTGCCTGAGGAGCTGGACTTGGCAAAGGAAGGAGATAGAAACAAAAAGATGGATGAATAGTTTGGGGTTACTGTGAGTAATCAGAAATGGGCAGAAGGGTCCAGAAATGACAAATAAAAAGACTGACTCCAGTTGAAAGGAGCAGAGAGAAGATGGCAGAGGAGAGAGGCAAAGATGGACAAGATTGGATTTTCCCAAAGTCCACCAGATCCTATTGCTGCCAGCAGTAGCTTTGAAATCTAGCGCAAAGCGTCTCACCCTCTTCGGTTCTGCTGCAGGTGCAGGATGCAAGTCACAGATTTGGTCATTTACTTTGCTAGTTTAAGAAAGTTCTTGAGCATAGACTGCAATTTGAAGGCTCCGTAACTGTGGCTGACCAGTGCAGTAGCAGTAAGTTATTGAAAGTATTTCCTTTGCTTTTAAAACAAATCTGGAAAACTGGGCACGAAAGCCCTATATTAAAGAGAAGCAGTTCAGGTCACAAAGCCAAGTGTTCAGAACTGAGGAAATGCCATGATTGGGATTGCCTCTGCAACTTTCCTTTCTTCTCCACTGTAAAAATTTACATTGTTATGAGGCAGTTTTAATTGCAGGATCACAGTTATTTCTCTCGGAGGATATTTGCTTATTTCAGTTCAGAAGATATGTCATCCTATCTTAATGAGAAGCTACTGAGTATTTGGATTTTTTTTTTTTCCCCTGTGTTGTTATCTGGATTTATGTGTTAGTCCACACTTTGCTTGCTTTTGTGACTATTTTTTCTTCCTGGTCTTTTTGCTTCTTGGCCTTTTCTGTCATTCTTACTGTTGTACTGGGGTGATTTGGTCTTTGCAGTATTCCTAGAGATAAGAGGCTGGAACTAAGCCCATTTTAGAGATGGTATATGAAGTGTAGAAACTAAACTGTAAAGCTTACACTAACTTTGCACAGCCAATTTGACACAGACAAGACTCCTCCTAACTTCAATTGCAACTTAGTTTGCCAGACTTTGCCAGTGAAGAGAGAAGAGAGAGAAGCCCTATAGCAAAGAGCTCTTTAAAGAACATAAATTAAATTCCTACTCTGAATTACTCTCGAGGGGAATCTGCATGCAAGAGGCAAGCTACCCTCATTAAGGGCCTAAAGATAAGTAGCGCGAGTACCAATCCTCATGCAAATTGCCATTTCTAAAAAGTTGTTTATAGTTCCTTGTTCAGCGTCATGACAAAACAAAAACAATCCAGACTTCCACGTTATCTTTCAACTGTCTAACCAAGACAACCTCTTTACACACAACATCTTGTGTCTAAATTCACACCTTGTGAAACAAATGAGGCAATAGCGTCACATGAATAACTCTAACACAGTCCCGATTTATTTCCACAGCAGCTTCATTCTGTATACTAAATAGGTAGGAGGTAGAAAAAAATAGCATACGATCATAAGAGTGTGATTTAAACATCATACTACAAAGTACACATGTGAAAGGGTCTAATTTATTGTTGCAGTTTTAAATTTAACATTTTCTAACTGCTGAGTCTTGACTTTCTTATGTGACTATGTTACCAGGGTACTGAACAAATGCTGTCAGATTAACAGAGAAAACAGAAATATGAAAAAGAGAAAGATGTGAAATGCAGAGACATGCTAGTCTCAGATACAAGTTGTTTACGATCAACAATTTGTCGTCTTTGTTTATAGCTCAGTAAAAATATGTCAAACCTCAGGTTCTTGTTCCTGTAGGTCATATGAAAGTTCTCATGATGTCAGTGAGATTTTTCTGTAAAAGCCTAAGAGACTGACCCTTCCGAACAACAGCGTGCATATGATGTGATACTTTTGCTGCTTCGTTTTGGTTTCTTTTCCTGTAGGTGAAGACGAGGATGAGTTTGAGAATTTCATGCTCCCCCTCACAGTTTCATTTGAAAGTGTGACTCAGATATTCAACAGTAGTTTTGAACAAGAAGAAGCAAAGGTAGGTTTATTTCAATTACAGGGAAAGAAATTATTGATGGGAAATCTAATAGTGGGGCAAGGATTTAGCAACAATCTTGTGGTCTCTTCTGTCTGTCTGTCTTGGCATGTATATACCTGTATACTTATACGTATATTTATACCTGTTATAATTATACATATATATGATTAGGAATGTAGACAGTAGAGATACAAAGGCTACGAATGGCTATCCTAAGTAAACTTTGTACAAAGATTTTATAAAGGCCTTGGGATTTTTCAGTGCTTTGCAGATCAAGTGACCCCATTTGATCCCCATTTATAATCAAAGGGACTAATTTGTCTTCAGTGATAGCTTATCTGTTTCATATGTAATATTCCCCTTTGCCATGCAAGTATCCTGTTTGTGTATATTAACATATTTATTTGGGGGTGTGAGGAGACATGTTGTAACACACTTGATAAAACACTGCTGCTTTAAAGTATTTTTTCAAACAAGAATTTATTATATAAATCAAGACTTTATTAAATGGCTGGGCATATATGTATAAATAGGAACTGGTCTTGAAGTATTGCACCCTTAAACTGAACAAAGTGATTAGGATAACTGATAGCTAAATAAGGTTTTTATGTGCCTGTGGGAGCCATATTAGGATTGATTTGACAAGTCAGTTCAGCTGTGGCAACAGTCATAATCTCTAACACAACATTATGTTTTATTAGTAAAATCCTTAAGTGTAGCAAGCTGTTTGTGTCAAAACACCAGTATATTTTAGGGAAGAAAAAGACTTGCTAGATACAAGCTGCATCATCAGGAATGATAATATATTAGAGCACTATTGCATTAAAGAGATCCCCTTCTACTGTCACTGCATAAATAGTTAACAATGCACACTGGAGTGCTCGTTCAGCTACACAGGGTGATTTTGAAGAATCCCTAACAGTGATTTTTAATTTGCTATTTTAAAATATCATGGAAACTCACATACTCGTCATATTTATCCACTTTCTTTCATAAGAAAATAAACAGATATGCTAGAAATATTTAGTGAATAATTTCTCTGCAGTGCATCTCTGACATTACCAGAAGATGCACAGTTCACAATAATCACTTGAATTAATCTAATTTTTTTTTTTAAATATTACTTAAGGTTATTTCAACAATTACTTAATTCTAGTTTCCTCATTTGTTGTTGCTTTATGTATTTAATTTCAATAACTTTTCATTTGTTAAACAGACGCAGTTCCTATATCTTGGATTCATCTCTTATATTTTCAAATTATAAATCCTAAAAATTAGAACAAAGAGGTCATTTGATAGCGTTAGCCTTTCTGTAGGAAACTGTATTTATCTCATGTGAGGATTCAGTTTATTAAAATAATTTTGCTGTTGTCCTGTCTGGTTTGCTTGAAACCATCTTAGTAGAGAAATTTTAATGGAGTGCCAGTGATATATTCCTAAACTAGCAAGTTCTTAACGACCCTGGAAAGTGACTGCTTGATTACACTTTAACGGTATTTGCAAATAAAATCACAAGTAATTAAGGGGAAATCTCCAGGCTTTTGAGCAAGTTTGATGCATGATAACTGCCTGATTCAGCTTCATCTAGAGTAATGCTGTGTAGACAAGAGCTACTGAGATCAATAGCAACATAATGATAGTGGCAGAATTAAGTGAGTAACCTGAGAACTGTGTCTTCAAAATGCATGCAGCTGCCACAAGCCAGGGCCACACAGTGCACTCCGTGCTTCCGTCCTAAATGTTCATCAAAAGACGCCCTGCAGGAAAATGGAGTTAGATGCTCTTTATTGCTGATCGTGTCTCTTGCCACATTTATCAGGGAAATTGGATTAGCAGTTGGCAGCTGCAGGTAGACAAGGTTCTGCAGTGATTAAATATGCAGCTTGGCTGCATTTGTTGTGACAGACCTTTAGTAAATTCTACTGTAAGCACCATCTGTCTAATTTGTATAAAGAAAACTTGGTGCTTTAAGCTACTGATAAAGAACTAAATCTGTTGCTTTATCATAAACAAAACTTTTGCTCTAAATTCTCTTAAACATAATTTATTAGGTTAAAGCTATTTTTCTATCATGATGAATAAATAATACATGCAAAAGTGCTTTCAGGTACTTCATTTTGCAAGTACTGAAAACAAAAACAGTTCAGTTCTTCAATAAAATGCTTAGTATTCCGATCCACAGGGAGATGACACTGTTAAAATATCACTATGAAAATGGTCCAGGACTGCCAAATTCATTTAATTTGTGGTTTTTACTAGGACTTTCTAACTGGCTAGGGTTTTTTTAGTTTTTTAATATTTCTAAAATACACCATTGAAAAACAGTCACAACAAGGGAGCTCTTTCTTTTTCAAATACATTTGTAATCATTAAATCTGCATACAAAACATATGTTTAGGTTTCTTTTCCAGGGAGATCAAATATAATTGAAGATGGCTTAAGTAATTATGTGCTTTGCTTTCCTTTTTTCGTTTTTTGTTTGGGGTTTTTTTTTTTGGTTTTTTTTTTTGCTACTTCCTTCTTCACATTTTTTATATTAATAGGAAAAATGTCCGGTATTAAAACAGTGGCTAATTTTCTTCTAAGAATTTCAAGGTTTCTCTTGACAATCTGGTTGAGTAATATATCGACTGGGTAGCCGGAATCTCAGTAGTACTTTGTTTATAGTTGTGACATCATCAGATTTGCTAGAAACGCATGAAAAAAAGGATCTGAGGAAAAAGCAGTTAAATAGCAACATGCTATCTTTAGCTGGTTTGTAGAAACTCCATGCTGTTAAATTATTTAAAATCCTTGATTTTCAGCTTGCACACATTAAAAGTTTTCACACTAAGTGCCAAATGTTGCAAACAGCACTTTAACAGAATGATTTTGCTTTGATCCCTGTAGCAGTTCCTGAATAATTTATCACAGGTTATTGCCTTAATTCTGGAGAGGGATAGAGCAATAAAGGCAGATGAAAACACTCCAGTTGAAACACCTTGGGGCCTGCTCATTCCTCTGACACGGCTCTTTTGTTGGAACTATTTAGAGGTTATTAAGACGTGTCTCCAGAATTAAGAGTATGCTGTAAGGATGAAGACAGCCATCTTAATTCTAAAGACAAAGCGCAATGACCCTTCACCTTTTTTTTCCTTTGTTGTTATTATATAGTAGAATTATGAGGGTAATATTATAGCTGCACCCAGTAGTGCCACTACAGTTAAGGGTCTGTCAGACTTTCCATTACAAGCCCCGTTTTGGGGGTGGGTGGCGTGAGTAGTCTCGTCTGTTTTAAATTGCATTAGTCAGACACTTGGCACATGTTGGCAAGTCATAGGGTTTTTTCTGTGAATATTTAAATCTTCAGCTCCTTTCCTTTGAAAAATCCATTGAAAAATCTTCTTCAGAACTTTGAAACAAAATACTTGAATTTATTTTAAATTTTTTTTTAATTAATCTTACTTAAACCTATCAGTGACATTCAGGGAAGAATATTTCGAAATGGAAATTTGAACAAAATTGTTTCATTAGCAAGGAAAGCAAGGTATAAACCCACATACCACTAACAAGTTCCTCTTGCTATGTTTCTTGTATTTACTGTTCTTCACTTCTCATCTTACTCATTTTGCAGTTGCTGGTGTTGTTATTAACTGTCACTTTGCCCCAGAAACGGCTGGTGTTCAGTTGTGAATGAAGCAGTAGCTTCACGTATTCTTCAGATCACTTGGTTAAGTTTGCAAGGCACTTCGAATCCCACAGGATGACAGACAAAAAGTAGATGTATAAGTGTATAATGTTGTTTGTCATTAATAAATTTTATGCATGTAAGTGCTATTTGAAAACTCATAATGAACTAAAACTAGACTGTCTTGGGATTTTAGGGTTTTTGGGGGGGTTCTTACTAAATGTGACTTAAGCAAGCATGGAATCTAGGGTGATTTATGCCTCTATTAGAGTTTAAAGATATTTTTACCAGTGACTTAAATGGATCAGGATTTGTCTCAGGATTCTGCAGGCTATTATATAGGCTGTTTGGACGTTGCCAACTGTAGGCAGTGTTATTTTATAAAGTTGAGTTCTGATGGATAACATCTAAACCACTGAGTTTGCTGGGATTTTACAGGACAAGAATATTGTGGTGCCTTGTCGATTGAGGTCATTTATCAAGAATAGTGTGGTTAATGCTATGGGCTTTTTAATAACAATATCTGAATTTAAAGAAATGAAAACCAAGAAATGTAGTTTATGTAGTAGTTGTTCTCCTTTCTTTAGAAGGTCAAAGAGTTTCTGAAATTGCCTGGTGTTTGTGTAGGTTCCCAGAAATCTGGGACCATAGTTTAAAGAAAGTTGCACATCTGCTTTTATTAATAGTTTTAAAGTCTCACAACCAAACTGTTTCTTAAATATATTTGCAAAAGAGTGTTTTCTTACAACCAGTTTTTTTTATAAAGACAGAACCAGCATGTTGGCTGGTTGTCTTTTTCTAATCCATGTTCTAGAGACCACAGTAACATGGTGAGCTCTTTCTCTCCGAGCACATCCTCAAACAAAGGCAAGTTCATGTCTTGCCAGGAGCTGTAGCTCCCCTTCTTCTCTGCTCCAGCCTCTCCTTTGTGCAGTCTTGCTTGTCTCCTTTTTTGTGGCTAGAATGGGCAAAGGAATCAAAATCAATCTGGAAGATTTCCACTTCTTTGTATATATTGTTGCATCTCTCTGTCCCTTCAGAAAGAAGTATAAAGTGTTGCTGCCGAGTTCTTTTAATTCTTTATGGTTTAGCCACCATGTCTGCTAAACAGTTATTTTCTGTGTGGACAAAACAGCACACAGAGTAAGAAAATACAGATGAATTTAAAGATAAAGTTACAATTTTATATTGCATCTTCTCAGTATTGAACACTTCCTCTCTAGTGATTTCAGAGTCCCATTAAAGTTAATGAGAGTTGAGACCTCTCAGCATCTTGCAAGTTCAGGCCATTTCAATGCACAACAGAAAGGAAATGCAAATATTAAAATACTCCTAGCAACCTCACCAGTGTTTTGTAGAGAACTCAATTTATCCTTGGATAAATCTATGTGCGTGCCATCCAAGTCAGTTGGACTAATGGGTCTGTGTATGAAAAGTAGAAATTAGCCCTTGTGTAAGATTACATTTAGCAGTTTAACAAGGCATCAGCCATTATTTGCTCTTTATGTGATCAATTAAAATTAATATGTGAATCTTACCTTTTGTATTTCTCAACACTGTAAATATTACAGTGTTAGCACCAAGGGTACATTATTGAAAACTCCGGTTTTAAAGAGAGAACTCCTTACTGGTTTTTTTGCCATGCTTCTGTGATTATATTTTTTGCCAGAGTCTGCAGTACTGTGGTCTTTTATTATGGGGGAGGGGAAAAAAAAAAGTACAAACCCCACCTATAACACATGGATAAAATTTATTAAAACTACTTAATTATCAAAAAAGAATATTTATGACTAAGTAAATTGAAAAGTTTCTTTATATTGTTAAAATATTTTTCATTCGCTAGTGTTTTTTATTGATGTCTATTAATTATCCTGAAAACAGCCTTTTAGTAGGGGCTAATTATCTATGCATAAAATGTCTTGCATTTGTGCTGGAAGGATTCTGAAGCCACACTTCAGTCATTAAAGGAAAAAAAAAATTTGTCTCAGAACTAATGTTAATACAGATAGATATTTGCATGGTCTTATGTAAACAAAAAAGTCGCTTTTTGAAGAAACCTAACTTGGAAAATTATTTTTAAAAAAGAAACCAAAAGATACGTTAAAATAACAGTACAATGAGAATCTCAGTGCAACCTTAATTGTAGCTTGTTATGAGTATCAGTTAGTCTTGCACCTCATTCAAAATATTGCAAACTTAAATTAACGTTTTATTGTTATTGTTACTTCAAATATATTAATACAGGAAGCACTTTTAAACTTTAATACACAGTATTCATATATTATGTTTTAATTTGCAATATTCATTAGGATAGCATATCGAATAATCAAAAGCATTTCCTAAGCATTTTGCTAGGTTATCACTATAAAACTTGTGGAAATCTTGTTTGTTAAAAGAATCTTTGTGGTTTTTATAAAAAAAGATTTGCACGAGACATTTAAACTAATGAATCAAAATCAGATATGTGGTCATTATTGGCTGATTATTACTCCATCTGCTCTGTGCTAACGTGAAAATCAATTACTGTGTCTCTTTCCCACTGACAGCGTATGTTGATCGGGCTGGCAAGGGATCTTCGAGGGATTGCCTTTGCACTAAACACAAAGACCAGCTACACCATGCTGTTTGACTGGATGTATCCTTATTACACTATGACAATACCAGCTCTGTGCACAGAGGGATACCAGGCCCCTTGCATTAGTTTAATAGTATGGCACAGTGGGGAAGAGGAAACAAAGCTAAATGAACTAATGTGTAATCAGCTAAAATTACAGCACAATGGCAACCATGCAGTTAACTGGGAAGGACCACAGAGAGGTCACTTTTTTGTTGTGTCACACTACTAATCTAGAAAACATATCCAAGTGGTTTTCTTCCCTTCATAAATCCATAATGTTTTCATAAAAAAAAGCTGTGTCTTTAATGCCAAACGCAATGTACCTACATTTGGTTTAACATCAGAAGTGCTTAAAAAATACTATACAAGTGCTATCTGGGGAGATTTCTTTCTCTGGTGTGAATCATGTCTTTAATTTAGTCAGTTACTTTCTATTTATGTCAATTCTATTAATATCACAACACCTGCAGTCTTCTTGATCCAGAAGAAAATGGACATCTGAAAACAAAATCAAAATCCTTAGATTGTAGTTTTCTTCGATAAGTAGTGATAATTGAACTCTATTTGCTTTAAATATTGTATACATTTTTGTGCCAACAAATACAATAATACTCATGGGTATTTTCTTAATACTATCGAGAAATGGTTTGTATTTTTATAAATACAGTAGCTGTAATTCTCTCTTCAGGCACACGGTCATATTAGTACAAACTGCTGAAATATACAGTGAAGTAACTATGAAAATACTTGTTTTATAATTTAGATCTTACAAAGCTATGGAATTTAATTATGTTTTTGTTTCTTATGGACAGAAAAAATAACATTCAAGAACAATTACATGCTTTACTAGAAATCAAGCTTTTAAAAATATTTTTATTTTAAGTAAATAATGAAAAGCTACTGCTCACTAATAATCTTCCCGGTTAAGAAAGAGGAACGCATCAATATAGAATTGCAATTAGGAAATTATCCTTTAAGGACTGAAAGGCTGTACAAGAGAGCCTCATATGATCTGATAAACGTCGTTGTGTGGTGGGTAGTAGGATCCTGATGACCATTCAGATAAGCCCTATTTAAGATCTTCGCAAGCCTGCAGTGATTCTGGCTATGTGGAGGCTCAGTTTGCAGAAAGTAAGTCCAAAACATGAAGCAGTGTAATCTCTATTTCTCTTAAAATCGGTGGAAAGCATCCCTTAATTTCAGTTTTAGAGGACTGGAGGGTAAAAAAAAAAAAACAACCAAACTACTGAAGCCAGACTGTGAATTAGCATGTCATTTTCTAGTGGGCACCATTGGGTACATTTAACTTCGTTAGTACTATTTGTGCTTGTGTTACCCTAAAACTTAATAATAAAATCAGGAAGATGTGTAAAAGCAGATCAGTGCTGCTTCCATTTCAAATTCTTTTTACTTTGTTTTTCCTACTACAGCATGAGTATCATGCTCTTCTCCTGTGCAGAACTGCAAATTTCCAATTGTAGGAGGAGGGATAACAAGAGAGTTACCTCCTCTCCATTTGAAAGAAATGGATTCATCCATGGAGGTGGTTTTTTATACAAGGATCCAGGATATGTAATCCTCAGGACCGTTTCCTGATTTTTTTTTTTTTTTTAATTAATTTATTCCTTCCGGTTTATGAATTAAGTTTATTTCAAATAAATGAAAACAGCCTCCAACTTTTGGATTTCATTATTCTGTATTAACAATAACAATAGATTGAAATGTAGCTTTGTGTGGAATTCAAAGCTTGGGCCTTCTCAGTTTCTGTTCCCTTGCACAGGTTCAAAATTTTTTTTCCTTATCACCTTTGGCTGTAAAGGATAAGTACATGCTTCTGTTCAGTGGATTTCACCTTATTTGGCTGAGTCCAGCTTCATCCAGGTATTGATCCAAAGCATTATAGCAGAATAAGCTGCTATTAATCGCAACTCTTATTTACTGTGTATAAAAACAGAAAGGTAACTGGGAGGAGAAGGGAAGGCCAGTTTGATCATATAAAGTTTAAATATCCTTTGATTAACATATTTCTTTTGTAGTTTCAAATATATCATCAGAAAATTGTTTTAACAGCAAAGAAAAGCTGTTTTTCAAACAGATTTTATTCTGTTATGTTTGAATCCCTAGTATTTCAATGTTGAAAATGGCAAATACAGAATATTAGCCAAAATAAATCTGATTTACTTGCATTTGTTCAATAAAGTAAACAATACAAAGAAGCAAGGGATAAAACGCTAAGCTTTTAATATACCGTGAGATGATGTTTATTCTGTATGGAAGATTATCAGAAATAGTCACTTGTAAATTGTTGGTAGAAGAATGTATTGATAAACTTCGGAAGTGATTGCCAGAAATATTTTACGTCTAAGCACAGTCAGTCCATAACAAAAGAAATTACGCTCGGTAATCTCTCACCTGAGAGATTCTTCTCTTTTTTCTGATCGCAGTGTTTAGGATTTAAGTTTTGTCCAGTAGATGGCAAAAATGAGCAGAAATAATTTCTTTTAAGTCCTTTTGGTCCGGGCAGGGGAGGCGGGGGAGGCACGGGGGACACCGTTGTATCTTGTATTTTACCATTATGATTGAGTTATTAGGATCATGGTTTAGAGGTGAATCGTCAGGTATGCTGAAGCTGTGCTAGATTGCCAAATAGGGCTGTTTTCTAGCAGGCTTGCTTATACTAATTGAGTTTCTCTAGCAAATCAGGCTCCTTGGAAAAAGGCCAAAGGCTTTTCATAATTGTATTGACAAGAAAATGAATATGATAAATGGTGTTCATTCAGCTGAGACAAGATTTATAGTTTTCCTCTGGCAAGGGATGAAGAGAAAATACTTATAATAATAGTAAAATGTGTTTTAAAGTTGTATTAGGTGATCTCTCAAAAGACTTCATTAAAATATTTCCAAATATTTTAAGCAGCTTCAGGTGTTAAGTATAGCATCTTCTCAAAGTAATGAAGGATGAAGAAAAACATCACACAAACAAACAAAACAAAACAAAAAAACCAAAACCTTGGATATGAAAGTCATTTATTCTTCCTGAAATATTGATATGTCAAGCTGTCAATGACGATTCCAGTACCACAGCTTTGGAAAGTTTATTTGCCTTTTGTATTCATAACATGTGGTCTCTGTAATTTGTAGGGCAGTCCTGAACGTGCAGGTGTGGCCTGAAAAAACATGTATACCAATTTGAGTAGAATCAAAGCCTGTTTTTCTTAACAGTGATGATTCTCCTTATGTATTTCATTCTGCTATTTACTTCAAGACTGCCTGGATAAGATGTTGAATGTTTAATCTGTTTTCTTCCATATTAATATCAGACTGTAGTCTAAGGTCCTTGGTCTCGCAGTCAGATACATCCAGGGAGATTCAATTGTGAGTTCAGGGTAATATCCACTTTTTTGTTACTTTCATTTAGTGTTTCTTACAGTTAGGTGGTAACCTATAGGCAATTTTTCCTGTGTTCCTCCCAGTTGATTCTCAGTATTTAATGACTTCTGTTGTCTGTAAAAGAAAAAGGTTGCAATAAGAAAATGGGTTGCAAGAATTAAATTATTAGGTTGACTCGGAGTAGCAGTCAGCTAGATAGCACACAATGTATATGTGTGAGTGCATGAAATTGCCTACATAAAAATATCTATAGACACTAAGTTTATAGAAAAGTGATCTGCCATTGAGATGTTTTATCTAGTGGTCATTTAAAAGTTCCAGTTGACCTAGATATTCCAATGTCTGATCGTAGGCTGCTTCAGATGTGAATCACTAGAACAAGCAAACTAACCTTTTCACCAAACTACCATTGTTACATATTTATTCAAATTTGTATCATATTTCTTAACACAATAAAACCACATGCAACAATAAGATGGCTTGTTCAAAATGATTCTATTTTTGAAGAACTAAATTTTTAAGTTTATATGTTTTAAGGATTCAGGATTAGGTACAAACTTGAAAAAGCTCAACAAACAGCTGTAGGGATTGAAGTTTCCTAATCACAAGAGAAGAGGAGAACACATGTTCTTATGAAACAAGGCTACCTGATCAGTAATCTGTTTGTAAGAGCTGTTAGTGCCAGTTGCATTGATTCAAACCTCAGTATCATTTTCTGCAGTTTGAATTCCTTTGAGCTTGCACTGACTGGTCAGGTTAAGTTCATTAATTAGCCAGATTCCTTGAAGCTTGTGGTTAAAAACACTTAGAAATAATATTCTGTTTAAAACCAATTTATTCCACTTTATTGGATTTCTAAAAAAAAAAAGTAAATTGCCGAAGCCTTTCTGTTGACCCCAGCTTTTATAAAATTTGACTATAATGTCTCCAGTCTTTCCTTGTCAATGAATGTGGACTCAATGCTTAAGTTTTTGAATTAAGATAGCTAATCATATTGGATATACTGCTGACTTACATTTTGGTTGTAGGGTTTGGCTTTCAAGTTACTCTCTTCGCCATGATATCTGAAAAGGCAATTGCTTTCTACTCTGCAAAATTCCACAGTGAGGCTTTGCAGCATTGCACTATCTCCCTTTTGTGTATATGAGGCTACTAGGAAAGCTAAGGAAGAGGCATGACAGGAGAATTAATAGCACAGTTCAGTTCTGTACCTTAGATGTCATCTGCTGCATTTTGAGTATATTGACCATCCTCTGCTGAGATTGGAAGCTGGATTGGAAGTCCACCTCAGAAAAAATGGAACTGGCATTAGTGAATTTTTAAAGCTATGAGATGGCATGGATCATCTATGGCCTTTGAGGATATTGTAGGCAAGTAGGATTTGAATTTAAATCCCAGTTTATTACTGGATAACTCTCCATGGTATGTTTAACTCTAGTTTGTCTGATTTAAAATGTAAAGAACCCCGTAAAGGAGAGAGAAACAAGGTCTAAAAGAATATTTCACGTCAGCCTCTTCTACTATATATAGTTTACGCCTGCAGTGCCTCAAGCAGCTGGCAGCAAAAATGCACAAGTCTTTAGATGCCTCAGACAGCAGTAGCCAGAATGCCTTCCATCTGTCTGCACAGCGCTGTCATTCATCAGTAGTGCTATGTCTGACGGCTTTAGCCTCCACCAGAAAAGCTATAGCGAACTGAGATATGACTGTGTCTACATATCCTAGAAGCGTGTAAACCTTTATGTATTTCAGACTTCTATTTCACAATCCTGTGTTGAGTGCTTGGCCTGTATTCTACTTCGTAAGATTCACAATAGTTGCCTTTATTGTCTGAACAGGCAATAGCATTTTCCTAAGAATAGTCACTGTTTCTCGTGTGGTTAAATAAAGCAGAATTATATGACATGAAACAAAGGTGAAAATGAAAAATAAGTTTATTATTAAACAAAACCATTGACTAGATTAGCTAGATCATGTTTTAATAGCAAATTGTATAGTTAATATCTCTTGGTTCAATATAAAAAACCTGTTTAATTCTTTGACAGTCAGGCTGTGCTACCTCATTTCCATTTACCGGTATGCATTCTTATCCAAATAAGCTCTTTTTTTCAGCATGTTGGGAAAACTAGGGGTCAGCTTTGTATCAAGTCGTTGCATGAAATATTTTCATACAGTCAGTAACTCTTAAGATTTTTTTAAGTTACATTGCAGAATTTAGTAAACTTACTTTTTTCTGTATTGCATTCTTTTAAATCCTGCTTTAAAAGCACAAGTATCTCTTGGGTGCTGATAAGCAAAGAGTTCTTCTGAAAGAGTTCTTAGAAACCTAACTTTGCTGGTCTCCCCCCCCAAGTTTGGCGAATTCTCTTCTTGAATGCTCTGGAACCAACTTCATACAATCAAATTGTTCCCAACCATTTATATAGCACGTGTAATATATATGAGGTGGCACTGAAATTTGGGGCCCAGGATTTGCTAATTTGTAAATTTGTGGTGTTTTTAAATTCAATTGCCGTTTGTGACTTATGCCATTCATTAAAAATCCAAGCTCATTTTATATGTGTACTTACTTAGCTTCACGTATACAAACTGCTTTGCTTTTCCTTCATTACAGCTCTGCTATGTTAACTGTTTCCCACTTAGCCACTAATGTTTCCAAAGCAGTCTTCTAAGCAAAGACTTGCTTAAATTTATAGGTTCTGGCAGTCCCTCCGTCAGAATGAGCTGCCAAGGTCTGTATCTGGCCCACCTGTCTAATGGTGTAGTACAGTTTTAGGGGAAGTTGTTTTGCAAGATGTTATTTTATCAGTGTACTCTTTAACTCAGTTTGGTGAAGGTACCCTACATACATTTCTGTTCTGCAAAGAGCTATTGAACTGTGGTACCGTGAACCTGCGTGTACAACTCCTATCTTGAAGCTGATGGCAGAATTCATGCAAAACAGGTAAGAAGCACATGAAAATTAGATGTGATGAATACTGCAATGGTATGCATTCTCTGTTCCATCTTTCTGTGCTTTGCTTATCCTCATGATGTCTTTGACTTTAAGACTGCTACTTTTGTATTTTGGAACAAAATTCGCAAGCAGAACTCAGCTTTCAGTGTCATTGTATTGTTTTACCAAAAAGGTAGATGTTACAAAATCAGCTGGTAAGGATTAATTACAGGAATGTATGTGAGAGACTACTGTGATTTTTATATTCAATGTTAGTGGAAGTGTATGCTTTAACCAGGGATAAATACTGATTCTATAATTAAATATCAGAAAATTGTCTGCTGTCAAGGTTTGCTGCAGGCTGAATTTTTGCCTTAAGCCAAGCAGCATACATATGTGCCTGTAAAACCACAACTCCCTTTACAGTTTCTTTTGCAACTCAACTCTTCCAGCCAAAATAGGAAAGAATGGTATCTAATACAGCGATATTTATAATTGGCATGTAGGTCACTTCTCCCACATCTAAAATCTTCTCTGTGGGCTAACCAAAAAGGCCTCAGAATGATTCTGGGAGGGTATTTCAGTACTTGACATTGCAGTAGGTAGAATGAAATTCCTGTTTTACCACAAGTAACAGAACAATTTATTTTGGAAAATTACCATTACACTTGGAAATATTTAGTGTACTGCCCAAAAGAAAAAAAGATTTTTAAATGAAAAATTTGTAGTTAAAGTCTCTGTGCTGGTTATCTTCATGACCAAAGTAACTAGAGTTTTCAGCAAAGAAGTACGTATTGTCATCATTTCTCATTTTGCCTTGCAAATCAAACTTACAAGGAAAAGAGTTGAAATATTTGAAATTTGAAAAAAAAATTTAGTTCAATCTAGTGACAGGAGATTGGTGCCTTAAAGTTCAGGCCCGGCTCCCAGTCAGACGCTGGTGTGTATGATGTGCACTTAATCCCTGAATGGCTATACAAACCTTAAGGCAGAGTTCCCTGTTTCTTGTTTGTGTTGACTTGCTTGCTGTGACTCCCTCTTCGGTTTGTGTAGGCTAATTACGTCTTTTATCCTGGTAGTAGTATAATAAATTGCTGGAAAAGTTTAACCTATTTTTATTCATGATGCAATGCACAAGCAGGATACTCTAATAGTGCTGCAACTTATTTCAACGAGGAAACTGTTAAAGCATAAACACAGAACTCTAGTAACGGTAAACAAAAGCAAAGAGGAATTGGAACAATAAATCTTCTGCAGAAGACAGCTCTTCAAGCTACTTTCCATATTCATGTTATTCTTCTACCTATTGCCATTCAGAAAATTTGCCTTGTTCCCATTAGAAAACATCATCTGGGGGGGTGTTTTTTCAGGAGTTGTGTACTGCATTAGCTTTTACAGGTTAGAATGCATTATACAATATACTTTGACATGGTTAAAATATGTTACAGAGTATCAGATTGTGCATTATGCCACTCTGATATTGAGATGATGGGCTGGTTTGGGGTTTTTTGCCTCTGCCAGCCATTATCATTTTGTGCATATGGAATACACAAATGTTTTATACAAGGCACATTTTATTCCTTTATAAACACCCAGATTTACTCCAGAGTTTGCAGCAAAGGACCCTACAAACAGGGACTCAGACAACAAAAAATTGGACTTGCAGCAAAGAAAGATAGCTACTGCTGTGTCTGTGATAGGGGTGATACAAGGACTCCAGGTTTGGTCAAAAATGGATGACTACCAAATAGGTCAGCCAGGGGATACTCTGGTTTACATCACTCAGTGATGGCTCCTTTCCCTTTCAGTCCAAATAAACACTAAGGGTAAGTTTTGCTAAAGTTACTTAGAAGCATAAGACCTATATTCGAAGTTAACTTTTAGGCCTGAACTAGGAGTTAGGCTTCTTTATCACAAAGACAAATCGGGAAGATGCAACAGGGACTTCAGCAAGGGCTCTGTTGTGTTTCCAGATTGGGAACAAAGTGGTTCTTGTTGGCTTTGGTAATACCTGTGCATCAGGGAAGACAACATAGTGCAATCTTCTTCAGGTCTGAATGTTCATAAAAAGCATGTGTTACAATTTACACTCAGAGAACTGGCTTGTGATTGCCACAGATTTTACGTAGCAGAATAACCAGTGGGGATTAGTTTATTTTTTAAAAGCTCTACAGATGCAAAAGCAGGGTAAAAGTTAGCCTAACCCCTTGGATTATGGAACCTTTGTAGCATTCTTCTGAACTGCGTACGGGCACAAGATGTTCACCGGTCACTGAAAGCTGTGTATGTATTGTCTGGTCACCTTTTCTGTTAAAATTGTTTTGTCTTTTGTCATAGGATTGTTTCTTTGGCAAAATATGGAGATAACTAGAGTGCATGTCATTGGACTGAAAGCTAGAATTAGTTTATCAAACAACTGTACTTTGTAATCGGCAAATGTTTTTTTTGTTTTAGGAATGAATCCATTGCAGTTTTCTGCTTCGATGACCATCTGAATATTTTTGCTGTTATTTTTTAGATCGCAACGTTTAAATTTCGATGTATCATCTCCAAACGGAATTCTTCTCTTCAGAGAAGCTAGTAAAATGATTTGTACGTATGGTAGGTATTCATTAATGTTTCCTCTGCAGTGTAATTCGTTGCCTGTCTTGTGATATAAAAGTCCTGTTAGTTCATATTCCTGAGCACTGATGGATTTGTGGAATACGTAGCAGGACTGTAATGTGCTACAGCCAGTATCATCCCTTTGTAAAGTGCAGAGCTTACGTGGCAGACCTTTGGAGCTCATTTACTTTCATAGATCAGGGTTCATTCATGTAGCATTGTTGCTTGTATCGCTTTTTTAACTTGAATGCCTGTCTTCTAGCAACTGTAAATCTATTTCAGCAAAGATACAAATACTCATGAGGTGTTTGATCTGGGCTACTGATTGATAGGTGTGGGTTGATTTTATGTATTCAAATTATATTCCAGCAGTTCCAAACATAATAGGACCATAACAGCTTTACCCTAGAGCGCTGTTAAAAGTGTTTATAATAAGTTGCTCCATTTTACTACTCCCACTCATGCATGCAACTGCAACAGGTCTTTGACACCAGCAGTTTATATTACACTGCAACTAACTTTGTAGCTTTCAGTTTTGCTTTCTAAATATTTTGAAAGGAACATTATCAAGTTTTTGTAGAGCAGCCTCATTTGTAGTTTGTGTAAACAGGAAGGGCCATAAATGTTCTGTTACTTTTAAAGAAAGAAAATTGGTGCGTCAAATTTGCTTTTACTGCATTCATGTTCCTTTTTGGGTCTGGAAACTGTGTGTTACATGACTGTCTGTATAAAAAAAATTCAAAAGTAATTTTGCATTTGATCTGTAGGGCATGGAAACAGTATATGATGCATAAAGCATTTACTTATGACAGAAAAAATTACATTCAAGTAACTCTCACTCCTTGCAAAATAATTTTTCTGTTTCTTTTTCAAATATACCATGTAGTAAGCTAGCACATTTTTTCAGCTATGTTCTTAAGTAAATTTGTTAGAATGATTAAGCAAAATAAAAATAAGGTTCTCCATATATGAAAAGATAAATGGTAAACTTTTAGATTTTACTACTCAATTTCTGTTAGCCTTTGTACTTAATTGCTGTAAGCTTTCTTTTGATGATTTAAAAAAAAAAAATCAACTGTCGTCATGATGATGCTTCAACCCTGCTTGTCTTATGGTACCTGATCCCATTGCAATTATATTTTCCTTTTTAAGTTTGGGGTTTTTTTTTAATTTCAATCATCCTTTACCATCCTTTCTGCACTTACAAAAAACATACCATATTATTGGGCATCCATTCATCTCAGTTGTTAGCATCAAGATTCTAAACCTTGCTGAGTAAACCACACTAGCTGGTTTCAACCTGCTTCATTCCCACTTCATGCCTAAAAAACACTTTTTAAAGAAACCTTTTGCTTTTAATTGCAGCTTTTATGGTGTGTATGTGAAGTTCATAAAATTCTCAGCCCTAGAGTAGTGGTAGCTCTTGCACATAAGGACCACACAACATTTTCTGGCTCATGCTAGAATTTAATTATGCAATGTAAAAGGAAATTTCAGGACAGTGCAGATTTAAGATTTAAAACTAAGCAGTGGAGCCATAGAGCCTGTTGAAGCCTGTGTCCAAACACCTCTTGCCCTCTTTGTTAAATTATGTGAAAGATATTTAGGGGTGTATGGCATCTATCTGGAGACGTGTGGCATCTATCTGGAGATGTGTGCCATAGAAAGAAGTGAAATGATCATAAGAGCTTTCTGTCATGCTTCTCTTTCGTGTCTTTCATAACTGTTTTCCTATGGAAGGATGATATTTTACTCAACACAGGTTTAAGAGGAGAACTGTTCTTAATGTCCTCCAAAAGAAAAATTTAAAATCACCTATCAACTAAAAGTGGAGGAAAGATGTAGATGTGGGAGAAAGCCTCCACTCAATATATGTATGGGTTTTTTTTTTTCATTTTGCTTTTGAAACACGTTCATATTATAATCAGTGTCTGAATGGGTCCCATCAGTGATCTTTTCACTACTTAGGTGTGACACTTAAAGAAATAGTTCAGGTTTTCTTTTCTGTGAGTGATTGCCAATATTTATTCCAGGACTGGACTCACTGCAAAGTCAACATGAAAGACCTCCCAGTGCAGTCGGATGAATTGGCCACTTAGAGCAGAGATTTCAAATAATCCAGCTGGCTCTGCACTGGCACAGATGGGCAGCACTGGCCTGACCATCACCGTGGCTCAGCTGTGGGCACTGTAATAAACATCCTAGATTAGTGCTATTTCAAACTGCTACAGCTATTTCTGAAGTGGTCACTGGCTTACAGTCTGGGAAGGTTTTACTGCCCACTGTAAGTACTTCAAGATACTACAATTAACCAGCTTCGAGTAATTGCTGTTAACATTTTTAGCTTTTATCGCCAATTACTAGTTTATGAGATTTCCATTCCAGTGTACAGAAGGATATAACTCTTCTGGAAATGTGTCATAAGGATTCATTACTTTAGTTATGTATGATCATTTGAACATACAAATTCCTATAAAAATATTGATATTAAGGGATTTTGCAGTAATTTCAAATGCCTTCCTGAAAATCTTAATACTTAAATTGTGCTTTTAAGGAAAACTTTAATCCATAATACTCTATGACTTTTTTTTTAAGTGTATTTGTCTTTTAAGCATATGTAACCTTGGCAGACATCTGGGGAAAAATAAACAAGTAAACCAAGTGATGATCATAAAATTCACTTTGGTGTTCTTGAGCAATGTTTCCAGCCCCACATTCTGCAAAATTGTGTGATTCAGTTAAAAGAATGAATACATACATGCCTTCTAATCCTTGGGTTCGGTTTTCAAGTTTTCTGCTGTAGCATTACTGCAAGTAACTTAAAATTCTGAAAATAGTTGAGATTCTCACATTCAGCATGATTTTATGGCTGAAGCATTAGCGAAGAAAACAGAAGACACACAGTAAATGTCAAGAGATGACAACAGACAGTATATGCTCATTTATCTTACCAAGTCAGCCAAACCTCTTGTATATGCCTGCAGCTCATAGTGAACTCCTCAAAGCTGATCAAAAAGACACTTGAAACTCAAGATAGATTTGATTGAAATCTATACTGTAATAATTGCCTTTTGAAACTAAGAGAAACACAAGGTGATGACGTGAGACACAAGGATAAAAATAGAAGCAAACATCTCTTTCTTTCATCACACTGTCCTTGTGGGAAGATCCTTCCTTTCAGTCTCGGTTTCAGTTAATCCATTGACTGGGTTGCCATAAACTCTGCCCAGCCTCCTCTCATCCTTGAGAAGTTCTTCTTTCCATCACCTGGAGACCTGGTTGTGATTGCTCCTCTTGGCAATCCCTGTCTGAACACCAGGCTTCCAACTCTGCTTGTTACCTCTCACCTCTCCTCCTTGCCATGGCCTGGACAATGAGAGTTTCCTTCCTATAGTTCAGCAGCTCTCCAGGGAAAGACTTGGTCCTTCTCCTGCAGACAGTGTAGCCCAGCCTGGTTGCTCCTCTTTCGTAGAAGAATATAACATACAAATAATAAATGAAAATATGGCTTAATTGTATTATACTTCTATTGGTAAGTGAAATTTAAATTTGTTTTAGAACAGGGTTTTTCCTTCTTCTCTCTCACCTGTAATGATATACAGAAAATGCTAGTAAAAGTCTTACTTTCAGAAATTTCACCTGCACCAAATTAAACACGAAAATTTCCAGTTATGGCTTAGGTCCACTGGGAGTCTTATGTACCTATATAAACCTATAGGTACATAAAAATGTCACCTGAAATATGTCTCTGTCCTGTCGACACTTAGGCAAGGAATTAGTAACTGAAGCAAGGTGGCATCAGGTGATTCTTCTCACGAACATCAAAGCACAGTGCACTGGTGATTACTCACATAATGCTGATTTTTCCTAAGTCTGGACTACACTGATCAAAGCAGTTTTGGATAACACACAGATACTTTGCATATATTGCCTTCTTGAGGTGATGAAAATCATCTAGAATTTATATGTGGATTTGTTTTGTGTAAACCCTGTACTGTTGTTTACATGGGAATAAGTTTGAAACAAGCATTTGGAAACCTAGCATGTCGTTTTCTTTCCATCTTAAATTCTGCCAAAGTTTATGATGTCCATTTATGTCTGAATGGTACCTCCATTTACTATCTATATGTTCTGTAAGATCTGTGCTTGGGCTAAAAATAAAAAGGAGAAGAAAAGGGTAGAACTGTGTTTCTGGGGTGTGAATGTATGAGAATGCTTGTGAGTATGGATGCTGAAATCTCTTTAATTCTAGACTAAAGCATATACTCTTTTCTCTTCTAGACTGGCATAAAGCGATTTCATACGTTTGAGTGCAAAGCAGAAAAAAATCCAAAATGCCTATTTTTAAGATATGCTAAGCATCTTCAGTTGTCACTGGATAAAATTTAAAATATGAATTATTTTTATTTTTTAAAATTAGCACCTCAGCGAGTGCTTAATTCTGCTTAACAGATCCAGCTTTGCGATTAGGGTAGTAGTAGTGTGTCCTGTCCCTCTGCTCATTTATCACTGAAACTGATACAGTGCTGAAGACAATTCTAAGATGTCTTTACAAATGCTATATGTTCAAAAGATGTAAAGCCTGGCGTAGGATGCAAAAAGCACTTAGATAGTCAATTATCCTTGTTAGGACTCTGCAGCTGCTTGGCAAGGGATGTTGTGTCTTGTCCATTATGGCTAGAGCCAGTCTGAGTGAGTGATAGAGCGATTTAAAATAAACAACTGAGAGGAGAAAATTGAAAGGAGTTGGAATAGTATAGTCCGCCATTCTTCATCCCCAATATATTTCACTTTTAATTCTGCATGTACAAGTCTCCTTACTATGTGTTTTTTGAACTCCCAGTTGTATAGGAATAATGTTTCAATGCATCTTGGGACCATCTATTTTTGTTTTGTGGTTTCTTTACATTTTAGTAAACCTCTTCCCTTTCATTATAGGAGACTGACATAAAAATAATATTTTCAATATGCTGTTTTTATTTATCTACATTCTGTCATGATATACTTTGATGTAAGTTTTTAATTTTGCTTCAGCTTTCAGCTGTTGTAGCAGTTACTGCTCAAGGTCAGCGATGAGGTTAGCCACAGTAGCACAAAACAATTTCCTGTTCTCACAGCCCAGGTAGCATTTGGATGTGGATTAAATTTTACCACATTTTCCAGTAGCCAGACACAATTATTTCTAATGAGCTTTAAATTGCTTCTCGAACATATATTTCAAAACTTAGTGTGGTAATCCATTCAGTGCCAGCAACTTCATAAGATAACAGTTCTTCTTCAGAATTTTGGTTAAAGTGATTCTTGCTGTAGAACAGGTATTTTTAATCAGCATCTTAGCTTAGAAGTGGAGCGCTCACTGGTCTCGGTTGCTGTTGGTCTGCTCTCCTCTCTCTTGTGGTAGTGGTTCCAGAATATATTGCTCTTCATTACTGACTCAGATTTCATAATCAGTTTCTTTTGGCAAATTTATCTCGGCGCTATGCGTGCTTGTTGTGCTGATTTGAGAGGTTTTGTGCATGTTTTGTTGTTGTAGAAGCTTTAAAAAATTAGTTTTGAAGCTCACTCTCATCTTTATGATTCATGTTTTCCTTTCGTTTTCGATATATGGCCACTTCTTTATACTGCCCTAGTATTCCGAATGCCTGGAAAGCATACATTCAAAACCATCTTTATGGGGCAGTGGTGAATAATAAAAATAGGAAAGGGGAAAAAGCAAAAAACACTTTTTCTCTATAAATGTGATAAATTTTCACAACCTTTGTTCAATCTCACCAAAGTCTTTTTTTATCTTCATCTAATTCACACATGTTAAAACATGATTTAGTTGTATTATTATACGTAGCGCTTACTGGACTGAAATCTAGAACAAGCCCTGCTTAAATGAAACTCAGCCATAAGGAAATCATTTTTGTATTATAGCTTCTACTGTAAAAGCAATTAAGGAGGAGAACTGAAAGGGAAGCTGCCTGTCCTGACATGCTCCCGCATCTAGGAGGGAGTGAGGGAATGAGCTGTGCAAAGAGCTCTGGTGCATATTGCCTGTGGGATTCTGAGGCATGGTGATGTTATCTTCGGTCAGAGCATCCCAGTTTGTTTTTTTGCTGGCTTTGTATTCCCCCTCTGTATACACATACTTTTTTCTTCCAGCTCCTTTGTTTGTGTACTAAGTAGTCTTTTGGTAATGAAATGTTTAAATTGTCAGCCAAATTCAAGCCCTTATTTCCTATCTAGCAGTTTTACCCAATATCTTTAAAATCCTTTTCTTATTCCTGTCAGAATTTTGTATCAGTTCTGAGGCTCAGAGAGTTTATAATTTTTGTAAGTGACGCTGCTGTCAAATGCAGGGCAAAAAGTTGAATTAAAGGACATTATTGAGAATTTTGGAAGTCAGTATATATTAAGATTGTGTGATACAATTTCTCCCACGTTAAGAAGAAATTGGTACAAGTTGGATTTTTTTTCATTTGATTTTTAACTCAGTAGTAACACTGAAACTTCACTGATTAGTCTCTACGGAGTTTTCATTTTGACAGGAGCTATGAATTTCAAACACAATTTTTAAATTCAGCATGTCAAAGGTCACTTTTATGTTGATTTAATTTCTTTAAATTGTTTCTTTTAACAACAGCAGTTTATAAAATTGTATTTTGGTCCTCCACTACAGGGATTATAAATGTAAGCACATCCTCAGTAGCTGAGGAGTTGTTCTTGACCTGATTCCAAGTACCTCAGTAAATTAGTTTATGTTCAGTAGTATCCATGGTGTGTAAAAATATTCCCCTGAAGCTCCTGCTAAATGTTACAAGTAGATCATTCTTTTTTCATCTAGTCAGGCGTAGCACCATACTTCATATTTTTTTCAATAACTAATGCTAAACACTAGTCTTTGTTCTAGCACTGCATCTCTTGAATCATAGGCTGATGGCTTGGGGCATTGGTAGCAGGCACCGCGTGGTCTTTCACCTCTGCTGCTAATTTGAAATCAGCTGTTCCCACTCTTAGGCCCTTTTAAAAGGAGTCCATGAACACCGAACAGTTCTCTGTGGACTCTGTCCACTTGCAAAAAGCAGCTTTTAATCTTGCACTAGACCCAAATTCTTCTCAGTGTTTTCATTAGAAGGGATAGGCACCAAATTCCTCTTCTGCCATGCCTGCCTGGGGTGAGGCAGCGTGAGGGAGCAGGGTTGTGCCTTCCTGTATTGAATGCTTTATGCTGATCGATGGATTTAAAGGTTTAACTATAGGGTGATTTTTTTGTGAAGTAATAAAAATGATGGACTAGTGGATACCTCCTAGAATTCATGTTCCCAGGCTAAGGGATTCCTAGGGTTTTTCCAACTTCCTCCCTCATCATCCGTTTTTTCCATCGACTTCCAATTAATTTCCATATTAAGTACATAATTGCCTTGTTGACAACTACTAAGCTCTTTCCATCTGTTGTTGCATATTACACCAAGTACTTCAAGGACCTAGGATTGCACGATGTTGTGCTTGGAGAGCTCAGATATAAACTCAAGGCTGTTACTTTCTTGGATCCAGAACTTTGCTTATTTCTGAAGCCAGATATATATTTGTGTTATTAAAGTAGAGATTTTCTACAGAGGATTTAACAGTGGAGAAGACCAGATGAGGTTAGCTTTCAGCACACTTACCTTTCTGTCTTGTTTTTGCCCTAAGAATTGTACACTGTTTACATAGTGGCTTTCAAAAATAGTGTGCGCCTTCCCACTTTATCTCACAGACAGAATTTTGTATTTAATTTTTTTTTTCCCACAGAATTTGAAATTCACTGATCTTAGTAACTAGACTAAGTCTTGTCAAAAAGATTAATGCTAATTAAGATGACCTGGCTGGGATATCTTAAATGGGGCACTGTAGGAAGCTAAATGGAGTTTAATTTTGTGTAAATGTAATTTCTCAGTAATGTAAAGTATTACAATAAATGAATATCCAGGTACACTAGAAGACATTCTTCTTTTTCAGCTATGTTTTGCTTTTCAAAGAGGATCTTTTGGATACCAGTCATTTTCAGTATAACAGAGATTTAAACCATTTGGAATTAATTTCTACGCAGTAGCAGTCACTGGAATTGTAGCCTCTTCCCCATGCTCATATGACCATTTACGGTATCAAAACCATTCTGTATTTTCATTCATAAAATTTTATTTTTTTTTTTTTTAATTAAGAGGACTTGATTTTGATTGTAAGTGACCATCTTTCCTAGCTAGATATTTTATTCTACTCCTCCTTTCCATAATTCTAGTGACTCCATTCTGGCTTCTTACAGACCCCAGTTACTTCTTCTAAGCAATCCCTGATCATACTCCCAGTCTTTTTTTATAAATCTACTTTTCCTTTACAACCTGATGGATAAATTGCCTTGTACTTGCTGGAAGTGGTGAACAACATTAATGTTTTAAACAGTAACTTATGCCTTTCCCTCTTTGCATCAAATGATACCAAATGGGTGATAGTTTGATGTGTTGGGTGTTTAGAAACAAGGTTTTCCCCCTCCTTTTTCTAATTATGTGATGTAAATTCCTCATTGTCAGTAATCAATAGCATTAAGAGAAAGAATTAAAATAAGGCAGGTGTGTGATTTACAGGTGGAGATTTGCACGGGTAGAAAGGACAGCTGTGTAGAGACAGACCCACTTTAGTATTAGGCCTCAATATGTATTAAGCAATACTATGCAATCTCTGAGATCTGTGTCATCTCAGGCAAGTTTTCAGGGGCATTTTTTAATTGCCTATTATAAAAGCAAAACTGATTTGTCATAACTACCTCTCTCAGCTGGCAGTGTTTGGAATTGTGAATAGTTAATGTCCAGTTCACTCGTTGCTCCTTGATCCAAGTTGTCATCATAGCCATGACAACTAGGTTAGACACTGAAAGCAGACGAGCCGAGCATCTGATCTGTAGCCTATTGTGCTTTTATTTGTAGGAGTACTTTTAAAAATGTACTTTAAAACAGTTTTGTGTTATTTTCCTTTAGTTAAAATTACGAAGAATGATGAGTAGTAACAAAGTGAACACCTGGCGCTTGGTTTTTGTGCAGGCCAAGCTTGTCAAGGTCAACATCAGATGGGGTCAACCTGTAAGGCTACTTCATGGTAGAATTGAAATACTTAATCTTTGCTGTGTTCATTCTACTGTTTTAGCTCACTTTCATTAATTACTTCAGGTTAAAAAAAAATTTGTCATGAAGACAAAACTAACTCTGGGGTGCTGTGAAGATGAGCATTAAATTATTACAAGATACTTAGAAAACTTGGTAAATGAGGCCTTGTGAATAATTAGATTTGTACAGGGGACTGCAGCGGGATCTACTGCGCTGCTGCAGTGGATCCAAAAGTCACTATTGCCTGTTAATAGCAACAGCAAATATTTACAGTTAGCTGTTATTTTTACATTATAAACACGGATTTTAATTAAGAAGTCATTCCCATATGTGACTGGTAAAATAGAGGCTTTTGTAATGGACATATTTGTTTTCTGAGGGATATATTTAGTGTGTATATACATCAGCAACCATCCCAAGGGACCGTCATGGTAATGGATCAAACCCAGATTTTGCTGCAGTGTGAGAAACTATAAAACCATGTGTTGCGACTCTGTTCAGATTAGGGAATTCATGCTAATAGACCCAGTCATGGTCTGGCTGTACATCAATGATGGGAATTCCATAGCTGATATTTTAAATTTTGCATACTAATTCCTTAGTGGCTTTTAAGCTCTAGTAATGCTTACTTAACGGATCTTTTACATCAAATGCAGAAACAATTTTTCTTCCAAATAGTAATGAAAATAAAGACAAAAATAAGTTTAGATAGTGCCATCAAAATATTTTAGATTTGCAGCTGCTTATACAAGTTTCTTTCTTTCTTTCTTTTTATGAAAACAGGTAATCAGATCCTCTCTCTTGGGACTTTGTCAAAAGATCAGGTTTATCCGTTGAAACTCAAGGGCATTTCCATCTGTTACTCTGCACTCAAATCTGCCTTATGTGGAAATTATGTCAGCTTTGGCGTCTTCAAGTTGTACGGGGACAACCACTTTGACAATGTACTTCAGGCCTTTGTCAAAATGCTGCTTTCAGTATCCCACAGTGACTTGCTAGTAAGCAATTACTCATCTTGGGAGTCTTTACGTGAAATATGAAATAACACCACCACAGGCTTTGTATTGTTATAATGAGACAGAGGGATCTAGAACAGCTCAAATGCAGTTTTCAGTTCAATTATTTGAATTTATTTATATAGCAACATCTAAAATACAGGTATGACGGACCTGCCATGTGAAACGGGAGCTTTTCCAGAATTTTCACTAGGCTTGTCGTGAAAGAGAGAAATGCAAAATTTTGTTCCTTTCTGTACTTGCAAACCCATTTAGGTTGCCTGCATGCCCTGTAAAACATCCTCACATATTCAGCCACTCTGCAATTAGTTTCAGTCTGTAAATTGTCACTGTGTATTCCCCATAAAATTTAAAACTTCAGTTTTGAGGTACACCATGTTCCCACTTCTCTGTGGGAAGAGAACAGATCTTGCACAAAATTTGAACTGTGACTTTTTCTTCATGACACTTTAGTTCAGAACTGTCATTTTCTTGCAGGAAGGGACAAATTTGGGATAGTTAAAGATGGTTAATACACAGATTTATGCTTGCCGCATAAAGAGAGTCCTTGGAACTGAAAAGTTGCTCTCAATTAAAATCAATATATTGGTTGTATAGTAAAGTGTGCATATTTGGCACATTCCTAGCCATCCAACAATAAATGCCTTAAATAAGAGTCCTTAAGAGTAAGATGCTGATTAGGCCGATGGGTTCAAGCCAGTGCCTTTCCCTGCACAGAGCCTGTTACAGGACCTTGCTTAAGCACAAAAAAAAGCCCATCTCTGAGACAATTTGGGGAAATCTGTGATAAATCTTAGTAAGATTTCCTGCAGAAGGTAAGATACGAGCCGTAATCCTGTCAAACTGACACCCTGGACAGAACGCTATACTGCTTTTACTAGACTGATAGCTGTGTAGAATGTCAAAGCATGATAGCATTATTGTATTATCCTGAGCTTATTTTAAATTGTGAGTTTATATCCTATGATAAATTTGAAAAGTTGATATCTACCAAAAACAAAAAAATTTTTTTCTCTGTAAGTATTTTGATTTAATGGCTAAATTAGAATTTATCACATCATAAGAACTGTAAGATCATTATTCTATCATCTGTTAATGTTGTTAATATTAGTCAATGGTAATATCTATATTTACTACGAATGTGTACTCTCTTTTTCAGCAATATCGAAAACTGAGCCAGTCTTATTACCCACTTTTGGAGTGTTTGACCCAAGATCATATGAGTTTCATTACCAGTTTAGAACCTCACATCCTAATCTATATTCTTACCTCAATATCTGAAGGACTTACTGCAGTAGGTAAGAATTACTTACACTCGGCTAAAGAAAGAATTCAAGTATTTAGATATCTAGGATTTTCAAAGAAGCACATTAATTTGTATCTTAAAAAATGAATATCAAGTGACAATGGAGGATGCTGGCTTTTGAACATTTTAAGGATGTGACTATTTCGGTTAATGGAGCTAAGTTCTTTTAAACATTTAACCTGTACGTTTTTACAGATAGTATTTTTAAATTGTCTTTTCTTACAAGCCAGAATTATTAAAATTATAAATGTGCGTCCACTAGGATTGTACTGAAAATTCATGCATTTGTTATTCAGAAGTAAAATGTATTAATATGTGTACAGGAATCTGCGGGGTTTTGTTTTTATTTGATCCACATAGCTGTTGTATAAATAATGCTTGTTCTGCACAGCTGTGATATAAAGGTATCTTTATCCATGGAAAAAAGAAACTAGTTATTCAGTTCTTCCGAATATACTTTAGAGGAGAATCAGTGTAACAGAAGCATACTTGCAGTAACGATAAAAATACAGCAGTCTGATTGCAGTTCATTTCATTCTCTTGCACAGTTTAATTTATGCTTTTTAACCAGATGACTGTCCAAACATTTTGGGCTTGGGGGGTGGGGGGGTTGGTAGCCTAGTCATTTGGAATATGGAGAAGGAGACTGAGCATTTGGGGAGAGAAAAGATAAATCATGCAGTTACATTCTGATCACCTAGGAACGCCATGCATTTATATAGTTTTTGACTGAGAAGCTGTTCAAAACCTTACAGTAGTATTTATTGATTGGTGTGGTTATTAAGGAAAAAAAATAGGAACGTATATCATTAGCATGTATAGATGTTACTCTATAATAGCTGGTGTTTCTCGTTACCGCCAAGTGTCAGTCAAGCCCCATAGGAATGCATGAATGCACCGAGTCTCACAAAGCATTTGCCATGTTAAACACATTCAGCAGTTTTTGCTGCAAGAGGGAAACCACTCTTAGAGAGAAAATGAGTAGTGAATAGCTAAGCAACAGTAGTAAAGAAGTATTCAGGTCATTTTATTATATAATGCTGAAGTCCATCTTCTCCCAGATATTTTGAGTGCTTTGTCACCTGTAATGATGGTATGGCAGTTTCTGCCTATAGGCTGGTTCTGCTGGGAGTCTGCCTGTTGATCATTTGCAAATGGATATATTATACTGAATGTTAGCTTGACTGACAGCTACCAGTTTAGCAAGCCCTGTTCCTGGTCTCTGTTATCATTCCACATTACATCTCTTCCATTTGAGATACTGGATATATTCATTTTGATAATTCACTAGCATACCAACTTTACTTTAACCATCTCTTTGAAACCAATTTGAATTCATGTAGAAGAGAGAGAAGAAAATTTAAAAGCTGTATAAGCTTCAGCTTTCATGTGTTATGTTTATTTTCTCCTCTCAAAAAGTGTTGATCTCTCACTCAAGGCGGGGAGGAGGAGTACGAAAAGTATGTATTTCCAAATATGTATTTCCAAATTTAGGTTTAAACTTTTGTGGTTTAGGTATCTGGGAGTTTAATCATGAAGAATTATTAATTTTTAGGAACATAGATGTTTTGCTAGAAAACTTCTATTTGGTGGAATTCCTGATAATTCTGTTGAGAAAAGTATCAATAAAAATTTTAACAGCTTTTTTTTTTCACATTTCATAAACCATAGACTTGCTTAGCCAATGCTCTCCTTCAGTTCATCTTAATGTCCTTAAAGTACCTGAGATAAATACAAACATATGAGACTAAAACAAAGTGTGTCAGAATTTTTAACTTTACCTGACTTCACTGCAGGCTTGATGCAGTCCATCAAAAGCTATTATGCTCACTTTCATTTTTTTCTTTGTTTGTTCTGATTCCTCCAAGTAGTTTTTCAGTCTTTGAGACTTGCCAAATCTCTCTCTCTGTCAGTAAGACCTGGTCTGACAGAATTGTGTTTTAAACTGATTAGAACATACAAGTCATTTTCAGAAATGTTTATAAAAATGAAATAGCTGTCTTTTATTTTAAAAATCAAATACCAGGAGATCACTTCTCTTTCACAGGAAAAAAGTATCTGACTTTTTTCTCCATTCTCTTTACGTATGTGAAACCCTTGAGACTCTCATTGTTGTCAGCTGTAGGATAAACATTCCCCAAGCCAGGTCTTACCGACATGTTGCCCAGAGAGGCAATATGTCAGTATTGTTTCCATATTGCCCAGAGAGGATGTGGAATCTCCATCCTTGGAGATATTCCCAGATACTGGACAAGGTCCTGAGGAACGTGTCTGATGTTGACCCTGTTTTGGGCAGGAGGTTGGACTGGAGGATGGTCCCATTTGATTTCTACCACCACCTTTAGGATCCTACTGGTATTTTCCCTACGTTTTCCACTTGTATTCTCTGCCTTTCCAAAACAATTTTTGATTCTGTCCAAATGCCTATGCAGCCCCTAATCTTTGTGAATGTCTCTTGCACATTAAGAGTAATACTTTCCACGATTAGTCAGCTGAAAAATGCTTCTTTTTACCTTTCATGTTGAAGTGATAAAGTGATTATTTTTCCTTAATGTCATGTTTCTTAATACTGCATGTATCAGTATCTTAGTACTGCATATTGATGTCAGGCATTAAGTTCCTCATTTGTGTTGAAGAAGTTTTATTTTTGTAGTGAACTGAGTAATTTTCCATACTCTTACAATGACATGTCCAGATGAACTACTCTTTGGTCAGTTTATAGCTCTTAATGTTAATTTATTTATTTTTAATCATCTCAAGAGTTAGTTACCTGTCACTGCATTTTCTTAAGAGTCATTCTTTTAAAATTTTGGTATTTGGGACATTACAATTGTCAGACAGCGAAATACGAATTTATTTCTTATGTGTCACTTGGCCACATACATCGTTCTGCCCTTGGAAAATGGATAAGTAGATCCAAGCATTGCCTTTTTCACTGAATTATATCAGTGCCACAAGAACATCTCAGAATAGTAGGGCTCAGGGCTATAGGCCATCTGAGGGGGAATTGTGTTTTAAACTGATTAGAACATACAAGTCATTTTCAGAAATGTTTGTAAAAATGAAATAGCTGTCTTTTTTATTTTAAAAATTAAATACCAGGAGATCACTTCTCTTTCACAGGAAAAAAGTATCTTTTTTCTCCATTCTCTATATGTATGTGAAACCTTTGAGACTCTCATTGTTGTCAGCTGTAGGATAAACATTCCCCGAATCCTTATTTCTGAGGAGTGTTCATTCTGTTGCTGAGTAAATACCTTGCTTGATTCCATGCTTTATAAACACTGTGAAAGAATATGTATTCCTTCTGAAGCACCTAGCTGTAAATCAGCTATAATGGAAGCCCTCATCTAAGCTTTTATTGCGAGGATAAACACTCCAATAGTTCTCTTCTAAAGTGTTTACCTGGCTTTTTCACAGCTGACTCAGTGGATCAGAGCCTTTTAATGTAGTCTGCCTGGCATGTTGTCACTAATCTCTGCAAAGCTTTTCTAATTCTCATATGATTAATAGTATAGTATGCTATTCATTGAGGAAAAAGTAAAACATTTTTTCTGTCTTGCTGCCTAATTTAGATGTTAAATTGCTAAATCCATTTACTTTTCAGGTTTAGTCTCAAAGGCAAATAATGCCAGTATTGAACTGTAAGCAATTGATGGACAGAGAAAATACCACTTTACTCCCTCTCCTTGTGAAAAACAAAACAAAATCTTTTAATTTGCAGAGATTCAGCAATGTCATTAAACTGTTGAAAAATAATTCCCCTTCAGCATGCTGTTGTCATATTGTTGAGACGAAAAGGCATCCTCAAGTTGTTTGGGGGCTTTGTTGGCTTTTTTAAAATAATATAACCAATTCTAACATACATGCTCAACTTCCAGTTACTTGAGCTAATGACTGATTGGAATTGCCTACATAAGGCAAAACCACACCGGTAATACAAAAATGCATGTAAAGTTAGCCCCCAAAACATGAAATGAATGCATACTGGGGAAGAAGAAGCCAAAAGAGCTAGTTGAACATGATGGTGACTGGAGCCAGGGTCGTCATCCTTGTCCCCTGCCCACCAGCAGCACCTACCTTGCCATCAAGTAAGTCCAGAGAGCTCAGTTTTGCTTGACAAAACTGCTGAACTATTACTGGGTCTGTGCTGACACACATGGAGCTGGTTTTGGTGTTTTCTGTAACCATGGCCTGCTTGCTTCGTGATCCAAATGATTAGTTCACAGGTGATAGAGCTGAGTTGACCAGAAGTGAGAAACATGGTTTGACTGCATTTTTCCTGATTATCCCAAGCTTTTATCTCAGTTTCTTTTACCATTTGATCTTTATTCTGTCTTCTCCACCCATTTCTTCTGTCCATAGCCCAGAATTGGTAGCTCCTTGTTGCTCTTGTTTGTTCTATTTATTTGGTTGGCTGGCTTGTCTCGCTAAGATTTAGTGAGAACACTATTCTGCTCCAGCACAAGGTTCCACATGCCCAGAAGAGTCATTCAAGGGAGTTTGCTTGACGCTCCCTGTCTGTTATATGCTTGCAATCAAAAGGAAAAATGAGCATAGGGAAGCATATTTGATATATAGTTATGGGCAAATTTAAGTAGCTCTTAACACTCATATCAGATTCTCATGAGCAAATGATAGCATAGACCTGTCTGCTGTCCTGCTAAAATCACTTACTGTCGAATGTAAAATATCTACTTGTACAGTATCAGCATGTTTAGAACTACTGCTGTTTTGTAAACTGATGATAGTGATTTACTTTGTATTATTCAATTTAAAAAGAAATAGAGTTAAGCACTGGTTTAGAAATACAGCAGAGCCCTCCTATGAAATATGTATTTTCAAATCTCTCACTTGTTGTTATTGATGGTGATTCAATTCCACCATGAATTGCATTTCTAGTTTATATGCAGGGCTGTTTTGGTTGAGAACATGATGAGTGCCAGATTCTGTGGTCTTTACTTTGGCAAGACTCATAACTTTGAACTCAGCTTTGTTCCAGCAATGTGTCTTAACGTCCTGCTCTGCTGAATTCAGTCCTAGGAAGCTCACTGGTCCAGTGGAGACAGAGTTGAGATGCTCCAGCTCCTTTCTGTGAGCTGTTAGATCGCTCTCAACTCCTGCTGCTAAGTCAGCTGGTTGCTTTGAAAGATCACGTCTTAGGAGACCACTTGTATCTTCTTTGCCTGTAAATGTTTCTTCAGTGTTTACTTCAAAACACTCTTAGCAAAATACAATTAGTTTTTAGATGGCGAAGGGTTAATAGTGTCAGCACAGAGCTTAAGGAGTTAAACAGACACAGATCAAAATACTTCAGTGTCTAGAGGGATGTGTTTAAATGAACACTGCAAGGTTGGCAGGCCTCCAAATTAGCATAGTTTAAAGAATTCAAGGTACATTTAATTGGATCCTTCAATCCCTTTTCCCTCAGAATGAGCATTTTAACAGTTTAATTCCTTTTGCAACCCCCACACATCCCTTACTCCAGTGGCCCATCTAAAATAAATACTGTGAACTATAAAAGGCCTAGACGAGTTCTAGCTGAAGTCAGTGGCAACAGGATGGAGTCCTAAATGCTCCACTGACTTGGATCTGATGTTTGACATTGCAGAGAGTATCAGTCAGGGCTAAACCTTGCACCCAGCAGGTTAAACCACCGCGTGTGTATAAGGAGCTTCAGTTGGTGTTGGTGTCACGAGGAACCGGCAGTTGTGTGAAGATGTGGCTCTGGCCAGGACTGCAGAGCGGGAGCTGGGAGGCGGCACGGTTGCAGATGTCGAAGTCGCAGCCGCTGGTGTCAGGGCCAAGGAGTATCTCGGGTGTCAGGCCAGAAGGAGACAGCAGCTGGGCAGGGGGAAGGGTGCACCACTTTCCTAACTTTCAAGAGGAAGGCGAGAGGAGCGCGCGTGAGAACCAAGGACCAGGACGCTGCTATCAGCGTGCTGATGCATGGAAGTGAGCAGAATCCTCTTTCACAGCAGCGGCACAGCAGGCAACACCTAGCAACAAAATAACTTACATAAATCAGACAGACATATTTACTCTGCAAATAGGTTTAAGCTTTTAATCTCCCTTACTTATAGAAACAGTAAGTAAAGATAGAAAGTGGCTTTTGCTTCTGCTTTTCAACAGTATCCTCCTTTGCTGTCATGACTTTCAATTTTGGGGACGTTTATGAAGTATTTGGTAGTGACTGCTGTTATGTTGTTGCCAGCCATATGTAATGTACTTTAGCCTACTTGAATTATTAGTTGTTAAGCAAAAGGACTAACTGGCTGTTCTGCGATCTCCCTTTTACTACCTTTAATGGCCCTTGTCATTGTTTGCCTCCTGACATTGATTGTTAAGCTATTTGGGAAACATTGTGTAATACTACTTGAGAAAAACCTGGACAACAGCTGTAGTGATTTAACCTTGCCTTTTCAGTAAGCAGATCAAAACAGAATTTTAGTTTCCAGGAATCTGGAGCCTTCTGAATGTGAAACTGAATACCAGTAAAATGTCAACCCTCACCCTGCACTTCCCAGTACACAGAGGGGCAGCTGCATTCATACAGTTGTGAATGAAGTTCACTGGAGTTCATAGGATCTTCAGTACATGGAGCTATCCAGATACTCAAAAGCAAAGGTTTAATACTGCTGTCTGTTAATAAAAGCAGTCTTCAAAGCTGGTGAACTCAAGTATCAAAAATAGACTTGTCGATGTATCGATTAGCCTAATGTCAAAGAGATTATTAAAGTTGAGCTCTCCAAGTACTATAAAATGTCATTATTAATCATTCTTTTATGGAAACAATTTCAAAACGGTTTCATTTTTTACACAGATACAATTGTCTCCTCCAGCTGTTGCGCTAGTTTAGACTACATTGTCACCTACCTCTTCAAGCACCTCGCTAAAGAAGGCAAGAAGACTGGAAGATGTAGAGGGACTTCACAGGATGGACAGAGATTGCTTCATTTCATGCAGCAGAACCCAGAAGTTCTACAGCAGGTGAATTAGCAGTCTTTTCTATGGGGTATTACTACATTTCTGAATTTTCCTGATTTTTTTGTGGCACTGAACACCAGGGTAACTTTGGCTATTTAGTAACAGAACAAACCTCCCTATGCTGGTATGCAACCCTGAGTAGCTTCAGCTGTGTTCTCATGACAACCAAAGATTGAAGATATTTTTTGTCATACTGAAAAGCGTAGGTACTATACTTGGCTGTACAGTATTTTAAAAATTGGTGTTTCATTTTTGCTCATAAAAAGAGGTGTGTGAGATCATCAATACATTTCTATAGACAAATGGGAAGGAAAGCTCCCTAAAGTATTTTAGGAGGAAGAACAACAAATCCTGGCATTGAACCACACGTTTTGGTAATGAAATGTGTAAATTGAATGGCTGTATGCTATCGAGTTTGAATATTTTATTTTGCAGTAGGTGACTCAGTGGGGTTTTTTCTGTTAAAGGTAAATACAATAGAAATTAAATCTCATGCTTCTGAAAAGGAAGTGGCCGCTGTACTGCTTAGGAGAGATTTCCCCTTCCCAGCTCCGTCAGGTTTATCACAGCCCAAGTACATTACGGGGAGATCAGGATGTTCGTAGCTACGTATCTTCGCATTTGCTCTGTGCCACATTCCCTTAGAATCTCATTAAACTATTTGAAAATGCATATTTACAAGAATGTCTGGATTCCTAATGCAGTTGCAAAGATGCCATTTCAGGAGACATGTTTCACAGGTTTGTTGGCTTTTAACGAAAAAGGAAGTTATTAACAAAATGCAAATGACTGGTGTGGTCGTCTTTGTGTTTCCCTAATAGGCACGCTGTCATTTGGAAAAAGCCTGGCATACAGTCACCACAGTTATTGTTGTCATTTGTTTACTGTTCTAATTGAAGGTGAAAAGTAACTAATGGTAGCTAATATATTCCTGGCAGAATATAGCATATTGTGAGAATATTAATGATGTTTATTATTGACAACATTATCAGAATACGATGATTCCCTTGTCGTATTACCGGTTCTTATGTTTTACTTGCCTAATAGGGGTTTCATGGAAACTAGCAATGAAGTCAGCATTTGGGTATGTCAGATTGCTCAGTATTGTACCGTGCGTGCAAGGATTTGAACGTAAAGGACAGAACGGCAACCTGGGCTCTGGACTTTGCTGCATTTGTGGCAATCTTGATGTAATACTTTGTCTGTTAATATGCAGTAATCTTTCACTTCACAGCATATGACTAGGCGGTGATCTATCTTTATTAACTTCAGATTCTGCGGAATACGTTATATTTATTTTGAATGCAGGCTTTCACGTACGCTTTTAAATATTAATGGCTGGTCTCCAGTAGTCAGCATAAATATGATTTGCATTAGCACTAGTCATATCATATTGAGTGCCTCTGATGTCAACTACTCAGTGTACTAATATCTGACATCATCTCCCGAGGTCACTGACAACTTTGACCTTTATTCTCATGCACAGTTTCTGTAGTCTCAGAAGCTCTTTTGAATTGATTTGAAATTTTGACTCTTCCCTTTATGAGGCAGTAAAATTGATAATTATTCAGATGGGAACTGAGCACTGAGTGAAAAATCAATTCCACCCGCTCTCTGCTGCGTATAAAATTACTTCTGAGTCTGCTGGACTGAACGGATGGCCAAGGTAAAAGCAGCAGGCAGAAATAGTAGAGAGGATTAGCTGGACGAAACTAATAGCCTAAAGGGATGGCTTTTGAGATGAGGGAGTGGGCCGGTTGGGGGTTATTATCAGCAATGATGGGACTCATTGATCATATGTTTACATCAGGTTTCCATTGGGTTATAAATCAGCCCTGAATAGAAACGGAACCCAAGGCCTCGCGTTTTACCAGGGGGACGGTGTATTAGATTATTCTCACTTTCACACTCAGATGAAAAGTGAGACATTGATTATTCATCGGCTGGCCATTAAACACTGGGTTTATAGATGATTTGACTATCATGGAAGCTAATGAACAAGGTTGCTGCTTCATAACCAGCGGTTTCAGTTTTCAAGACATCTGTGTCGGTTAAGTAATGCATAACCCTATTAAAAGCAATGGGTTACAAATTGCTTAACAGTGCTGAAAAACTAGACCCTAATGACTAATTGTGCTTTGAGTTTAGAGAGGTTTGTCAGCTCTTTAAACTAAACTGATGCAACGATAACGGCAATTATTTACTAGTTAGAACATTTCTTCCAAGTTGGATCTCTGGAAGTAGTTGGATAATTAAAATCTCCAGCAGCACTTGAGGAATAGCCCGCCGCGGGCTTGCCGTCCTCTCTCTGCTCCGGGCACAGGCATCTCCCCGGGCCCTTCTGCCGGCGGGATGCGGACTCTCCTCCGGGCCCA